CCCCAAAACCCCAAAACCCCAAAACCCCAAAACCCCAAAACCCCGAGTTAAAGAAGAAATATAGAATCAATATTACAAATATTAATAAAATGTCTGAAGAGCGATATGCAGAGCCAATCTCTGACAACTTCTTCAAATCACAGTCTTTAAATTCTAGGAATCCAGGAGATAATCCTTCTAAAATAGCATTCAAAGGAGCTGAAGCCCAAGAAGATGATGCAGCAGCTATGGCGAAAGACACAGGCCTCCTCTGGATTTACGATGGGGCTTCCCCCGTCGGAGAAAAGCAAGATATTTTTACTTCCCCAGCTGATGGAAGCTTCTCACAAGCACAATACTCCACATTCCAGAGTAACAACTATAACGAGTCGGATCCTGGGATAGGAGATATGGGATTTTCTCAGCACAAAGGACATAATTTTTCTTCAAATTCTTTGCAGAACTACAACAACATCACAACTTTAAAAGCTCCGCCTCCAAGATACCACGGAGCTTCATCACAAGTAGTAAACTGAATCCCTCCACTCGAGGAAGGTAGCTATATAAAGAGATGCACACACTTTGATTTTGAAATCAACAAGGACTTTACTTTGACTCAGATCCCACTAAATTGCTTCACTGACTTGGATACTGAAGAACTAGTCTACTACCAATCATTGGCGGACCAAGTTGCATTAAATAATTATAACTGTCACACATACTTCAGGTGTGTGCTGTATTTCCCACCAAGCCATCCTCGAGCCATTCCCTCAGTGAAGACCTACCACGGGTATGTCAACCTCTTCGAGCTGAATAAATTAAATGGGACTAATATTTCATTATCTCTCACAGGAGATGATAGGTCAAGAATGATCATCAATTGAAATTTCGTAAATGATTACCAGTACCAATGCTACCTTCTCAACAATCTGACGATGAATGTAAAGTTTCCTGCTCCAAAACCTAAAGTTCCAGTTCAGAGGAATAGTTTTATGGCACTTTCCAGGCTCCAGAAAGCACCTCCAGGGTTTGAAAATACTCAACCAGGAAATCCTCGTTCCAAATTTTCTGGATTTGCGATGAACCAGAGCAAGCATCATGATTTTTCCAGAAGAAATTCACCTCCTAGCCAGGAACTGGAGCAGCCAGTTTACAAAAGACCTCATGCTAAGAGGTCTCACCAAAACGTTGTGAAACCCTTAGTCACTGGGCTCGATACAAAATCCGATTTTTATTTATACAAAGATCTTAACAAGGAGAAACTTAGTAGCGATTCCCTCTCTGACGACATCAAGCATGACTACATAAAGGAGGTTGAGAATGACGACACCGAGGAAGAGAAGTACTCTACTACCTCAAGCACTAGACCCAAGTTACGGATGTCCAGCGACAATCTTAGTAAGCTATTGTTCTTGCCCTGTTGTTTTATGAAAATCTGCTAGAAATTTTCGAATATTTCCAAACACCCATATCTTATCTTAATATAGAAGTAAACCATAAATTATCATCTAACTCATTTGGGTCAGGTTCCTCTGTCGGGCAGACACACGAGGGCAAGCTACCCATGACTCTTCCTGACTCAGAGAAACCAGTGGAGGCTATCTACGAATACAAAGGACAGATATCTAACCTAGCAATGACCCAACAAGGGTCTAAATATTTACAAAGAGTCTTAACACATGCTGCTCCTGAAATGGTTGAATTTATCTTCCAAGAGGTACTTGACAAATTGTCAGCTCTTATGCCAGACCAGTACGGTAACTACTTCAGTCAGAAGTTGTTCCAGAGCTGTTCGCCTCACCAGAGGCTTGAAATCCTCAAGAGCATTTCTCATGACATTCACAGAATATCTTGTAGTAAGAGTGGGACTCATTCAATGCAGAACCTCATAGATGTATGGCTTCCTTTCTAACTTCTAGATGATCAACATGGAGGAAGAGTACCAAATTCTGGAGAAGGCATTAGAAGGCCACATCCTCCAGATGGCATGAGACCCCAATGGAACCCATGTGCTCCAAAAGTTAGTATGTCTTGAAGGAGTGACTTCCAAAATCATCGACAATATTTATGAAGTCTGCAAAGATTCCAAAGGTCTTTCTGTAGTAAAATAAAATCATTGCTTACCATGATACTGAAGAGAAAATCAAATATTCTCAGATGCTATCGGAGGTGACCTCATTAGAATCTGCTAAGGTAAAGGCAGATGCAGGTCCTCGTCCCCCTACTAGAACTACTAAAGAAGAACCTGAACATCCTGTGTTTGAACAAATACCTAACTCTGGTCATAGAAAAATGTAAGGAGAAACCTGGAAGTGAACTTGCCGACCATTATTTTCGATAATTTCACCCATGAGTACTTCTTCACAAGTAGTAAGTCGCCATTGCATCCCCTGCAGGCGAATTTTCTTACCTATAACTTTGAAATTTCTGATTAAACATTTACATTATTTTAATGTTTCGAGGAGCGCATAAGCGCTGAACTGATACAGCAAAGTCCTTTGGTCTGCCTATCAATGTTTTTACTGTGATAAAGTGGAAAATTGGTATTTTAGACTTAAAATTAACTATTTTAGCATATTAAGGCCATCAACCATGTCCTTGATAGTTGGGGTTTTGGGGTTTTGGGGTTTTGGGGTTTTGGGGTTTTGGGGTTTTGGGG